GTGTGTGTGTGTGTGTGTGTGTGTGTGTGTGTGTGTGTGTGTGCGTATGTTTGCAGTGGGGCTACCTTGGACAGCGCCAGGCGAGGCAGACGCACTTGAGCAAGCGGAGGAACTTCAGCGAAGCGCTTTCTCTTTACAAACAACATCCAACCGCAGAGCCAGCTTTCCTCCTCCAGTTTTGTGTACTTTAACCTTTCTTCTTCGGACCTACTTGTTTGGATAATCCCTCTTTTTCCAGCTGGGCATGTGAAGCAGTAGAGCCGCGCCGCCCTCGGAGCACCGGGAAGCGGACTCCCGTCTCGCCCCCTGTCCGCCTCCTGCTGGAGCTGGAGCGATGCCCGGGGCAGGATGTGCTCCAGCCGCAAGATCCTGTGGAGCCTGCTCCTGCTGTCCGTAGTGGAGGTGGGCCTCGGTGTGGCGAGCATCGTCCTGGGAGCCGTTGGCATTAGCTGGGTCCGGGGCCATCATAAGCCGCAGCAGGGCGACGCGTCCCCGGTGTGGAGCGGACTCTGTGTACGTTCTGGGAACAACTTTTGTCCTTACTTTTCTTCACTTACTTCCAGAGAGGATGAGTATCTCCAGGGGTGATGTGAAGGGTATAGTGGCACAGATAAAACTCAGGGGAACTATCTTCCTTATACACCTTTGAATGTATCTTAAAAACATCCCTCAGTAGCAGGCTGTAGCGTAATATCTGGGCTAAGATTTATTGCTGTTTTGTTATGTTTTTGACTGGAAGATATTAGCAGAAGTTGGGTTCTAATTAATTCCTTTAATAAAGTGAGTTTCATGTAAATGCTTTACTACTACATCTAAAACTGTAACAATTATAACTCTAACTAACCTCACAATTCAACAAAATATCATAAAAACACTTAAAAAATATGACTTCTTTAAAAGTCTTGCAGGCTTTTCTATGGTTCAAGACTCTGTGAAGCTATATATATATATATATATATCACACATTTTGTTTGTGTGAGAGCACAGTAAAAAGCGTTTGTTAAAATTAGACAATTACATTGATTTTTGTTCTTACTGTGGTTGTTTATCTAATATGAATCACTAACTGGAAGTATTGAGACCCAGGATGTGGTGAAGACCCAATGTTTTGGTTCTGTTGGTCTTTTATGTAACTAAATGTGTTTGTCCATTAGATGTTAAGAAGCACAGAGTAGTTTGGCCTCCTAGATTCCTCTGGTGCCGGTTAAATATTATTTTCATTCATTCATGCTTGAGTTGTTGCGCAATGCTTTGGAGGGTTAAAGCGTTTACGCACAATCATACCCTCACTCCTCCGCATATGTCTCCTCCTGTTACAGTGCTGCTCTCTGACTCACTGTCTTGACTTTTCTGCACATTTCTCGTATATATAACCTTGATTCAACGAGTTCAATATGAGATAAGACTTGCTGAGAATTACTGTAAATGCCTGGAGCTCGCGAAATATAAGTCATAGAGAAATGTATCTGTAATTCTGCAAAGTGTAGTATCTCAAAGCCCCCTGCGGTATGTAAGTCACTTTGGATAAAAGCGTCTGCTAAATGACTGTAATGTAATGTAATGTGGAAATATGTGGAGAGAAAGAAATTGGTGATATTACATAGGTTGTGTGTTTGTGTGTGTATAAAGTTGCTGCAAAGCTGTTATGCTGCATGACACATTTGTGTTCAACCTCACAGCTGTTGAAATCTCTCTGCTGAGTCAGCAGCTGTGACTCGTGATTACCCAAATATCTCATATCAGGAAGTGACAGGCATTAAGACCGACTGACCGCTGTGCTCAAAGTAGATTAGATGTCCAAGTATTCTGCTGGAAAGTGATCCTCATTCATTTCTTATATACAGGACATTTAGAGTTATGTTTCTGTCTACATCAGATTACTTAAATTAATTACTTGAAATATTTTCCCAAGTTATTGGGCAACCTTTTGATAACTGGAAGGTCATCTGTTAACTCTCAAAGATTTTTGAGTGTGTAATTTCAAAATCAAAAGCCTCGATCTTTGTCCTTAAAGTTTGTCTTTAGAGGCACATTCCCAGAGTTGTCAATATAGCGTGTACTTCATTCACTGAAGAAGGCAACAAATAGGGCTGAAAGCTCTGTATAAAATAGTAAGTGCACCTCGAGTTACTCTTAATAATATCAAAGGTCAAAACCTTCAACTTCAACTGAAAATTATTTTAGATTGCTTCCAAATATTCAATAAATGTATTCAAAACTTCAACATTCATACCGTAACTTAAAGATTAAAAATGAGAATCCCCCCCCCCCCACACACACCCTGACTACTGCTTCCAGAAACTTTCAGCAACACAATGCAGCTTGCTTCTCATTGAGCTGTCCCACTTGTAAGCGTACTATGCCAGCGTAATGCGCCACCGTGCTGTTCCTGTTCAGTCTGAATCATTGACATCCAGGACAACGTGGCTTCCTGCTAGAAGAATAACACACTCTATTTTTAGAGGGAGAAAGTTGCATCTGAATCACTGAGTGTAAACAATACATTCACCCCTTTCCTGTTGTCAGCATGGGGAAGATGGAGTAATACAAATAGATTTCTTAACCAGCCATTTTTGTAAGACAACTTCTGAAACTGCTCATTTACTCATTTGTTATTCTTTCTCTCTTTCCAGTTTCTGGTCTGTGGGATGTGCGGAGTGCTGTGTGCTCGCAAGAGGACAGGTCTTATTGTAAGTGCATGTATATGTTTAGTTCCTCTGTTTCCCACAAGCCTCTTTTGTTGTCCTTTCATATTAGTTTGTGGTCTCTTTCTATAAACTGTATTTTCCTGCTACAGCAAACAGAACAGGCGTTATAGTGATGTGACACATGGGGGAGTCAAAGTGTTGTAAAAGAATAATTCCACATTTTGGGGAATATGCTTATTCTTTTCTTTGCCATGAATGAGATTGATACCACTCTCATATCTGTACAGTAAATGTGAAGCAAAGCAGGGGTTTCTGCAACAACTTCACCTACTTCCAAGGTGCATGGAGAAGGGGAAAAGTCTGAAGAGGTCGAAACTCCCGCAATAATTTAGGTATACTTGATTGTTTCGAATAATGTGTTTTGGCTTGTGGAACACCCGTTGAAGGCCACAAGCCGAGACCCGTTGGTGTAAACAGTTGAGTTGTTCTATAAAGTGTTGCTGGAGTTTTGACCTCATTAGTAAGTAAGATTCTGATAGATTGGTGACTTTTGAGTCACATAAATTATTATAGACTGTAATCATGTTAACAGTGTGTCCTTTGCGGACAAAATTCAAAGTGGATCCAGACACACCATTTTTGAGATGATTGGCATTTAGCGCAGGCAAAAGAGTCTTTGAGAGATGATGAAGATGAATCGGTATTTATTATTGTGTATTTAAAGGTGTTTTTCTTTTGAAAGATCTTTTTTTTTCAACATCAAATACTCGTCCTATTCAATGGGATGACTCGATGATATCGTGTGCTGTCACCCATCATTCACAGAATATGAATCCGTACACATAATCTCTTGTGAATGTGCACTGTGGAGAATGCAAATATACAGTATGTACTGTCTGTGTCGTGCACATTTACACATAGTCTTTACTTGTAAATGTCCAGGGGTAGACAGTCTAAGACCTGTCACCCAAAAGTGCTTGTGTATACATGTGTGTGTACATGTGTGTGTGTGTGTGTTCAGTCCTGCAGGTGCGAACAGTGTGCTCTGAAAAAGACGTCTGAGGAAACCAGAGGAGACGAGCAGTCACCTCTCCTCTTCTCTCTCTGTCGTTCTCTCTGTGTTTCTTTGCTCAGCGATTGCGTCGCAGTCCCTTTGTGTCCGACTCCTCCTGTTTCTCTCTAACTCTCTCTGTCTCCTGCGGGGAGGGCACTAACGATGGATCAATGTCAGCACAATCTGCTGTAACAGAGACATCCCTCAACCTTTCTCTCCGTCTGTCTCACCCTATCCATCCCCGCCTATTGTCTGTGTCGCCATCTTTAACCTCGTGTCTTTCCCTTTTTCATCACTCTCATCCTTCTCATCCACCTTCTCTGTTCAATCAAATTCTCCCCAGTCGTTTCGATGCTCTGACTCTCTCCATCTTCCTCTCCTCATCTCTTTCCTTGTTTGCCTGCGGGGTGATGATTGCATTAGGTTAGTTTGGTTCCGGAGTCCTGCCAGCCGCTTTCCACACTTCACTGGGTAATGAATGAAATTGGAGAAGCCCTTTTCCATGCGGTTAAAGGCACTAAAGGGATCTGTACTGGGAGCAATGAAAGATAACCTGAACTCCTGACAAAAATACACACACACACACACACATGCTTGCAAAATCAACGGGGAGTAGAAATAAATCGATTGGATATTGTTATTTTGATTGCAAAGTAACGGAACTGCGGTCATTTTCCCATCAGATCCTGCTGGGGAAAATTAGATTTTCATACTGGCTTGGAGTTTTCCAGCTGCTTTCCTATTCTAAGGAGGTAAGCTGTAAGATGTGATTAATTAAATACTGAAAGGAAAATCTCACCAACCATCTAACACACAAATCAGACAGACACACACACACACACACACACACACACACACACACGTACAAAAACAAGTGAGTAATGCAAGCATATTTCCAAGCCGGGCAATATTTCTGGAAGAGAGAGTGTGCTTTGAGAGCGATCCAATTTTCTAAAAGGAAATTAGATTTATTTTGACTGATACGCATTACTCATCAGAGCAACTGTCATCCAAAACAGCAGAATGATGGAGATGCAAGCTCAATAGTTTATATATCTTCCAACTCATCACATTTTGTCAGTTTGTTTACAGTTGTGTTGATAAGATATCAAGTCTGCCGTTTGCATCAACATAAACCATTCTCTCTGTCTCTCTCCCTCAGATGATCCTGTTTTCGGCATGCTGTATCTGTGGTCTGATTGGTGGGATCCTCAACTTCCAGTTTGTCCGGGCGCTGAACAAACGACCAGACTCCATGCACTCGATCCATCTCGCTGCCATGACTCTGGCCTGTCTGGGTAAACAAAACATGACAACACAATGTGATGCAATACAACGCAGCTGAACACACATGTTAATACTGTATGTGCCATGTGTATGCTATCATAATATAGGAATGTTGTTGGAATATATCTTTGTCCAAGTGTTCAAAGAGAATAGTTATATTCAAAGGTTTAAATTAAAACTAAAGCAGCTCTTTATTTGTGACCTGTACAATATTCCAGCTCAATCCATCCAATAGTTGTTGAGATATTTCAGTTTGGACCCAAATGATGGACAAACCAATAGAGCGACATTGGCATCCTAGAGGCACGACACTAGCATGGCTAAGATAGTATAAGATACTAAAGATGGGACAGCCCACTCTTCCCTTAAAATAAAGAACCATCCCTTATTCCTTCAGCTGGTTCCCCTTCTCCTGTCTTGTCCAGGGATCTCCTCCTGTACCTTATCCACGTGGCTCACCTGTCGCCTGGCGAGCTCCGAGCAGCAGAGGATGTTCCTTGAGAGGGAACACTCGCTACACCACTCGCACGAGATGACCGAGAAGGTAGGAGGTGACAGCAGAAGAGAGCTTCTTGTTGCTCAGCTTGTCAACAGTATGGCCTTAGGCTCTAACAGTTGTAGGAAAATGTATGTTTCGTGACCTAAGAGGATTTTAAAGATTGTGTTTGGGCAGTGTGTGTTAAGTCAGGTGTGTTTGTGTGTCCCCTCACAGGAGATCCTGGACAACTCCAGCAATGGCATTCCTCAGATCTCTTACAACGGACACACCACAGCATCACCATGACAATGTATCACCAATGGCGACTTGCACACACTGAACCACAGAGAGTTCATGAATCGCTTGCTGTAATACAGCATGTACTTCGTTCTAAACATCCTGCGACATACGCAGTAACTATATCCTGAGTGCAGGGGGTGAAGCCAGGTCTCTCAACTTGGAACCCTTTTGCTCTGCCGCCGGAGTGAAAGGACATTTTGACAACAAGATGGAGGCGTTTATGCTTCTGAATGATTATGCAAACACGGGTTCAAACCCCCCCAGATAAACTCAAACCAAAGCCGGGGTGGAGAGCAGCCGTTTGGGTCGTAATTCAGGTGGCAAACATCTGCGTGGTATCATCTGACCTTAAAGCTACTGAGCAGGAAGGATCGATTTTATCCAATGAGATGCCTCAAGGGGATGACCACAAACCGAGCATGCAGCTGATTCACTTGAAGAGCTACTGTTATTTCAGTCTCAGTGTCTTTATTCTCTCTCTCTCTCTGTGTCTTGTTATGGGTTTATGGAATGCAGATCTTGAGATAGCCTGCAGTTAGCTGTATGTATTGTCCAATAATGGAATGGTTTGAAATGCAGTGATGCGCAATGTACTGTATCGTATATCCATGCTTGTATATCAGGAATCTAGCCTTACCTATAAAGCAAAGATATTTTTATAAATGCTTCTTATAAAGTGAATTTAATTAAATGTATGACAAATCTGAGTGATGGACTATTTCGGTGGAATTTAGTGCAATATTTTTAGCAATGGTTGACCGATTCATTTGCACACAGAGAGCAGCAAGATGAGTTTGGTGTTATCGTCCCAACATATTCAGATTAGGCCTTTCTCATTACACTTAAAGAAAAATACTTTACATGTTTCAGTAAGTGTAGCAAGTGTTGTGAGTTATTACTCACAGCATGCTAACCAAAACACTAAACGTTTCATTTTTTGATAAATGCATGTAAATCTTGAAAACCAAGTGTACAATATCACACATTGAAAACCTGCAGAGCACGCTGTCAACATAATCAATACGGAGCAATATTTAGGAAGCACTGCATTCCTATGCGACCACAGTTTAACTCAGGGATACCTTTGGCTCTGCTCGAGGTTCACACACTCATTGTAAAGTTAAGTGATGGAGTAAATCTGTTTTATAGCACCTATCAAACCACCTCTCAACCAACAATAAGCACTATTACCCACACTCGCATGCATGCACACAGACAGACACACAGCTGTGACCTCTAATGTAGATATACCATTGCTCTGGCAACATCATGCTGTCCAATAACCTTCCTCCTTATGGTGTTTGCCTACTCCAAAAAGCCCCGCAGTGTGTGTGTGTGTGTGTGTGTGTGTGTGTGTGTGTGTTAACTAGGGCCACAGCAGCAGAAGCCACTAGCTCTTGCTGACTCAGAAACCATGTCACAATTTATCACTGTGACAACAGTATGGAGTGGGGCGATGGCGCCAAAGAGAGCACCAGATCTGCACTGTGTGTGTCTTTGTGTGTGTGTATGTGTGTGTGTGTCCGTGTGTTTGTTTGTTTGTGTATGTGTGTGTGTGTGTGAGACATGCTGAATCATGTGACCTCCTGTGGTGCTGCTCTGTCAGAATACAGTAACACTATATTAGACTGTGTGAGAGTGTGTGCGTGCGTGCGTGCAGTAGTTGCTCTAATTGACACCGTAGGTCACCCTAATGATCTTAATGTGCCATCGCAGGTGAGAACGGGATACAGAATCAATGACCGTCTCTTATTAGATGAACAGCTTTACAGAATCCTTGGTAACCCCGCAGTTAACAAAGGGCATGTTGGTGAGTAAACGCCTCATTTTTTAGTGGCTTCCAAAACAGGAAAGATCCATGTCAGTTATGAAAATACAGTCCCAAGCATTTCACTTCAAAAACACATTTGGTTAAAACTTTGTCCTGAAGAGTATGAGAAGCTTTTTGTCTGTGAATTTTTATTACAGGAGTGACTGTACTGGAAGAGTCACCGGATTTACCTGCTGGGTGTGCCCTGCTAGGGCATGTTTCACTCTCTCTCTTACTCATATTCCCTGTGCAGTGTGTGCAATATCACTATGATGGAATATTACATGCCACCAGTGTTTCTGTCTGATTTAACCAAATGAAATATTATTACATGCACCTAGTAATAAAAGCATCACCTAAAATAATGAGCTTAAATCTAGATTTAGTAACACTTAATCACATTACCACAAACCAATTGCCATACTGTGAACCTGGGGCATTCAGCGGCCTCTGGGGGGCTAAGAAGCATTCGCCTGCTTTGCCTTGTTGGCTGGGTGGGAACTGTTTTTGTGCCTTTATGATAACTTATAGTAAGTAAATACAATTCTGAGACATTGGTACTTTCATTTCACAGCATTTGAAAACAGTATGATGGATTAAGATATGACATATCAAACAGGTTTGTAAAAACATCTACAACAACAAACAATATTTAAATGCAGCTACATGTTTATTAGTAAATAATGTAACCATTGCAGGTATTTTGATGTACTCATACAGGCCTACTAACGAGATGAGTTATAAATATGTTCGGTTACTATCATGCTTTATTTATTTAAATAAAAAGAATGCAATGATTATTACATACAATTATTTTTTTAACATTGAATTGAAGTCGTCTTGTTTCAATATGCTGATATAACTGTTATTTATTAGGTCAATACATTTTTTTAGTCACTATTTTAATTATTTTTCAACTGTAATGCCCCCTCCTGACCAGCAGGCGGCAATATAAAGAAATATCTTGACAGCTGTTGAGCCTTCTCCAAACCGGAAATTGCGTGTTTTCCGGTCTTCCGGTCTTTCTAAACGGCATGGCGAACTTCAAGCATGCAGAAGACGACCCAAAACACGTGAATATGTCCGGTGAAATAACCGCCGCCAGTGCGGAAGCCCAACCGACAGAAGAGTCCTTCGTACCGGGCAGACACGCGGGCGACGTCGCGTGCTCTGTTCCGTCGTTCGCAGCCGCCTCCGAGCTGCTGTCAGCGCCGTACTCGTGTCTGGTCAGGAACACGCACCGGAGACACGTCGCCCTGCCGCCCATTTACCTGAACAAGAAGAGGACCGGTATACAGGAGGAGCTGGAGGCCGAGCTGCTCAAGTTCTCCCGAAGGTAACAACTATTTTATTTTATAATTCACTACAAGCCAAATGCATTTAAAGTATCAAAAGTAAAATTATTAATCGTGCAGCAGACTGCCCCCTGTACGTGTAATACTATATATGTGGATTATTATTGATGCATTACTGTGTTTGCATCATTTATCATCGCAGCTGTGGAAGTGAAGCTAATTGTACTACTTTATAGTGCATTTATGTAATTGCATCACACTTCATATGTAAACTTTAATCTGTTAACTATCTAGTTACTCACTAAATCAGTCCAATACATGTAATAGAGTAGGAAGTTAATGTGTTTGGTTACTTTCCACCACTTGGTCCGGGATGTCAGCCTGACTGTAAATACACACAAGAGAAGGTGGTCATCTGTCCTGCTCCCACCACTTTACCATCTGATCTCTATTGGTTTTATCAGATAAACACACCTGATTTAATGTCTAATTTAAAGTGATCTAATGTAATAAGCTGGCCTTAAATGGCCTCTGTGAGTTGCTTTTTTTCTTTTAAATGGAACTGGTGTGACAACAATTTGCATGTTTAATTTTACCATAAATGTGATATATATATATATATATATATATATAT